TGTGTGTGTGTGTGTGTGTGTGTGTGTGTGTGTGTGTGTGTGTGTGTGTGTGTGTGTGTGTGTGTGTGTTTGGGGGTTGGCTGGCTCAGGGATTCTGCAGATTGTGAACCCCTCCCCAAACTGTCCTTGAGCTCTTGCAGGGCTCAAAGCCCATCTGGCAATTGCTCATATCAAAACATAGCAAAGATTGAAACAGTTTGAATGACCTGATTGTAACGGGCAAATGCTCCTGTAGAAATAGCGTCAATACTCGTCTGCAGCTAATAGTATTGTTTTTTTATGCAAATGCATTGAAGTTTTGACATTGGAGGATGTATGTAGGAGATGCAGGGATCGAGGATAACAGAGCGGAGAGAGAGAGGGAGAGAGAAAGAGCGAGAGAGAGTGAGAGAGAGAGATTATCAATTGTGCTGAGCCTCACTCATCTTTGTGACTATAGACCGTCATGATGAAATCTAGTTGAAATCCCCCGTGCATGTCGATCGCCACGCGCACACGCAGGCTTGTCTTCTACTTCTCTGCGCAGCTGAGCTTCACAGCACTGGAGACTTTATGCAAATGTCGGGCTCAAAAGAACACAGTGGATGGATGAATGAACAGTTGCATATGTTTACTCACCGGAGGGCTTATCAGTCATGGTACGCAAGACAAGGCAAAAGGGTCAGGGGATTTAGTTGCCAAGCAACTTATGCTCATAGAAACATTTTTGCAGCAGTGGGCTTTGATCTGTTCACTTACATTTTCAATACCGCCTTCAGAGGACGTGAAAATTAGTCATTCGTTGGGTAAATTGACCATGCCCATCGCGGGCACACCCCTCCGGCCTCGCGCTGACCTGTTACCTTGGGCTTCAGAAGCTTGCCTGAAACGATGGCGGAATTGTCAAAAAAAAAAAGGCCATCTCTCACAAACAACTGGGCATAAAACTAGCAAACAGAAGCAGAGCAGCGTGACCTCAATCAGCTGAGAAGTCAAGTCAACTTTATTGTCAAATGTGCTCTGTGTGCAACATAAGCACAGATGAAATTTCTTTCCTCTCAACCACAGGAGAGAGAGGAATCGCTGCAGGGACCCGCGCCGCCATCAACGGAACATTTATTATAAAATGACAAATAATACAGCACAACACATAAGACACAGATGGTCATGCAATTTTAACCACTTTTTCTGCATACACTTTGTTGTTTGAAGCAGTTCTAGATGAAAGATTCAGAGCTAAGCAGAATTAGCAATATTTCTGCTCCACAGGTGAGTTTATCATTGCTTGTTGATTTTTAATTGATTTTACATTCCAAAAAATACAACTTTAAACTGATAACATCTAGTGTAGACTCCATCTGGACATGCATTCTCTGTGACTGTGACTACGCACTTCGGTAATGGCATGGCAATGTTGGAGACTCACACTCATGCACTTGTGGCTTTGCTTGCAGTGTCAGTCAAGCGAGGGTACATTCTAAAAACATTGCATAATCCCTCTTCAATAAATAGCATGCATGATAAGAAACGGCGCGGCTACAGTCAAATCCAACACCACAGGCGGATTGATTTCTCTTTTCACTGCATGATCATCACATGATTTTGCCCCTGTGCAATTGTGTGTGTGTCAAGTTTTCGATTCAACAATGTTGGATTGCTCTGCGAACATAAAGTTGGAGTTATTTTACATCTAGTTTGAATTTCAGTTGCTCATCTTCCCTTCGTAACTCAGTGTATTATTAATTTTCCCCACACTCAAAAAGGTCATTTTTATGCTGTTGGTTTTCTTGGCTTAGTGGGAAGAATAATGGCTTCTAACAAACATTATGTTGTGGCCAGATGTGGTGTGGAGTCTCAGCATGCAACAGAGGACACATTCATAGATGATTCGTTTATTCATTAGCTTTACAACATTTGGTCTGGGAATACTTTCTATGGGACATTTTCTGTGCACAGCTCCTTCGGGTCACCCCACCGATTTTACAAAATGTGAACAATACAAACTGAAGTGCTTTGTCATTATTATACTGGTGATAACATAGGAATAAAAGTGTAAAGCATACTTTTTCCAAGTATGCTATGTGAACCTTTTGCGTTCTGTAAGCAACCCCTGGTAGTCTTTGAGATCCTTGTTTTATAATATAAAAATATAAATTATTTTAAAAATTATAAAAAAAAAATATATAAAAAATATTTTTTGTAGGCTAGTATGAGCTACTGGGTTGCCTTGGTTTCAATGGCACACTCATTACAAATAAAAACAGCGAAACTATGGAAAACAGAAGAGAAAACTGAGAGACTCACCATGATCAATAAATTTTGATGTCATTTGTGCTGAGTCATGTCACTGACTTTTTTTTTCCCCCTCCTCTATTCATCGATCATCTGAACCGCATATCCTCACGAGGGTCGCAGGCATGCTGGAGCCGATCCCAGCCGTCTTCGGGTCGTATGAGGGGAGGGGGCACCCTGAACTGGAGCAGGGCACACATCGACAAACAATAACCATTCACACCCACAATCACACCATGGGACAATTTAAAGTGTTCCATCAACCTGCCAAACCCACGCAGGCACAGGGAAGAACATGCCAACTCTCAGGGAAGGCCGGAGCCCGGAATTGAACCCCAGGACCTCAGTGCTGGGAGGGAGATATGCTCACCAGTCGGCTTCAAAGGTTTTAGTAACATGATTGTGTGTTCATCAACACAACTTAGGAGCATGTTTTCTACTCTGTATAATACTGTAGGTTTGTGATGAAAACCATATATTTTTACAGATAAGAGGAAAAAAATCCATCCATTTTTCTATACTGCTTATTCTCGGTAGATTCAAGTGTGAGCAGCAGGGTACACCCTTGATTGGTGGCCAGCCAACATTGACAAATAAGGATTCATAAGATTCTTTAATTAAAAGAAGAAAACTGTTTAGGGAATGTGTGTGTGTGGGGGGGGGCAAGCCGGAGTGTCTGGACAACGTCATCAAGCTACACACACACACGCACACGCACACACACACACACACACACACACGCACACACACGCACGCACGCGCTTGCACACACGACACCAGCCCGGGTTACTGACCTCACTAAGCTTTGAAGTGTGAGGCAGATGAGCTCACCGCTGACTATCATCCCATCGAAAGTTGGTTAGTCATATGGACAAAATTATTTTAAAATGCGGATTTGTAACCTGTAGTGTTAAATTGATCATAAAGCGGACGGGGCAAGAGAAATGCGGTGCTCGCGAGTTATTTTGTATTCAAAATAATATTTCCGAATCACTTGTGCTCTAGCTGCAATTGCATTTCGAGTCAGGGTCACTATAATTTACAAAGCATGTTTCTGTATTTTGAAAATGGCTTTTTTGAAATGTTATGGGAAGAGGACAGAAATGTCCTCCAACTACGGAATGACCCATATACAGTACTGTGCGTATTGGAGGTTTTGGGGGGGACTGGGGCGGAGCGGGTCGGGGAGGGGGGGGGGCGTCCTGCGCACGCACCATTGTGAGAGCGATCCCAACCCAAGCGGCAACCGTGCAGGTGGAGTGCGGCGAGCGACTCCAATCAGCAGCGCCGCTCGTGGCTCGTCGATCTGGCTCCCGGCTCACTTTCCCCGGCTGACGTCAGCTGCCTGGCTGCTCTCGGCTGTCCGCTCCACCGCGTCAAAATGCTGCTCTCTGTGCCGCCCAGGACCGGAGGAGTGAACGCGTACAACGGCTACCCGGGCAAAAGCATCAAGAAGGTAAACTTTGCTCGTCGTCGCTCGCTTTGCCGTTTGGCTGCCAGTGCGACACCTCGTTCTCAGCTCGGCGCCAGTTCGGGGCCGCGTGAAGCTGCAGTGTCCTTGAGCCAAGTGAACCGCAGGCGACCCGACTTTCCACCACGCGCCTGGCTGCGTGCAACATTTAGACTCAATGATTTAGTAGTGATACACGGCGTGGTGGTGAACTCACGTCGGAGATGGTTTCGGTCGCTGCCTTGGTTCTGTTCTCTCTTGCTCGCCCTTTTCTCGCTTTACTGCGCACAATAATACCCAACTGTGATCATCCCGACAATATCAATTGGGCCAGGTCTTTTGGTTCCAAATCCAATTTTTATTCATACATTTTTATGTCGCCATGCTTGGGTGACGTCTTCTTTGCATTCATCACAAGTTGGCAAAGTTTTGTTCTTGGCTCTTTTACGCCAGCGACATGCCCCACCCCTTCAAGCCCCTTAATAATAACAACCGAGAGGGGCACCCAGGCTGCGTGAAAGGAAAAAAAAGTTCAAAACAAAAGTCACCTTACCTTGGAGTACATGGACAAGATCGATTGCACTGCAACACGATTAGAGGTGGACCAATATCAACTCCAACAATGAGCGACTGGATTGCGCAAATGAATAATTCATGAGTTGACATTGGAATCTATTTTTAAAGCTGCCGTATGTACAAACTGTAGGACTAGATCCCTTTGCATTGTTATTTATGGAAGTGCAGATGCCTGCATGGATTTAAAACCACTCATGTATACTATATGGGATGTATAAGCCAACTATGGTTGCATAGGCAATGGAACGAACATGTCACGTCTAGAAATTAAGCTTCATGTTCAAAACGGAGATTGAATATGTGGAAATATTCGTCACGGTCTATCCCGAGGCTTGAACAATGCTGAAATCGAACACCTCCCTCTGTTCCCAGTGTTATTCCCATCCCGCCTCGCGGCTGGCTGAGATTCAGATTGCACACATTTAGCGGCTGGAATTTCTGGAATCCTGGATTCAGACAGTATGATTACTTCGAGAGAGGTTCTGTAAACATCTTCTTTCAAAGAAGACATACACCACTTGATTTGGACACATTTTACATTGTCAGAATGCCAGAGTGGCACAGAGGCAGTCCTTGTAAATTCCAGCTTCAAGTGCTAACTCCTGCTTTGTATCTTTGACTCAGAGGAGAGGGCGGAGACCAGAAAAGGATTAAAAGATTCACCCCCCCCCTTTTCCTCTGCTTTCTATGAACTTCCACACATTTCCCCTCGCTCTTCCCGCCGCTCCCATACGTTGACTTCGTCTGTACTCTAGTTCACATGAAGAGGATGTGATCCGTTCTCGAAGATTTTTTAAACTATCCTTATAAGGTGTTAGAAGATTGTGTCGAAGTAACTTTGAGAGCATACGTCCACCAACCTGCTGTTTTGTTTTTCAATAGAATTTAAAGACAGAACACCAGGGATCCTCATTGTTGCCCCCCCCCCCAAAAAAAGGGCATATCACAAGATTATATCACTTGGTGCTCTGATCTTCTCCGCTTTGCCTGTTCAGATTATCTTTGCAAAACCGGTAAAATAGTCACGTATTTCTCTTTTGCGTCTGTTCTTAAATATTCCGGAGACCGTGAGAAATAGTGCTGGTGAAATGTTTGACAGTTTTTGAAAACATATCATACAGAGTAGAGAGTAGTGTCAATACATCTGCCCTGACAATGAAAACAATGCTGAGTTCTGAGGTGTTTATTTTTATTGGACGTGGCGATCGACATTTATGGTTCAGAATTTGCTCAATTCTATGCAACTGATTAGTCGGGTTTTCATGGAGCCTTTAACCCATTTAATCCCCAATTTTTCCCAGACATTTAAAAGTCAAAATCAGGTGTCATTGGTAGCCCTTTTAAGTAATCAGTAATAAAAATTTTTAGAGCCCTGTAAATTAAATAATTGTTGTCCTTCGCAAATGTGACTGGTGGGATTAAATGGAAACGAAACAGAAACACATCCACTGGAGTGACAAGGCTGAATGTGAGCGGAATTTCATTGGCATTCACAGGGTGGTTCAGTACAGTATAGTCCTCTTGCCAGTCCGCACAGTCGCCATGTAAATGATGCATCCGGTCTGCTCATGCTCTGTCTTGACTTAATGCGGAGTGACGTCGCCGTTCACTCACTTCAAAATGGGCAGCATCTGACCAGAGCTCGTCTGTGATTGGAGAACTTGTTCTAAGGTACTTGCAACTTGTCTTTCTCAAGCATTTGCATTCATAGAAGTGTGATCTGAAGAATGCACTGACGCATGTAAACGGCAGATTGGAATTGACCGCATCACATGTACAGTTGTGTTCATACGGTTACATGCCCCTCGGGCGATGTAAACGTATGAGCACAACCGTATATCTGACAACTAGTGGTGATTGGTGATATTTGGGCTTGCGCTCAAATGTTTACATACCCGGAGGAATCATGCGCAACTCTATATTGTAACTGTAAATAAAATAGCAAATTAAATTATTGAAGGTTTATTCCGAGATCCTGAGTGTCAGTGACACTGAAGGTATTTCGACCGCAGATGCAATCAGGCTCATGCGGTACGTCCTGTCTTGGATGTGAAAGTCCTTGAGTCAAATTGCGTGTAGCCCCTTCCACACCCACCGATTCTAATTGCCTTTTATGTCATTGGATGCACATCACTTCCCTCTGCAGACCATTTACAATGTCGGATATATGTTTGAAGGTGCTGCTTTGTCCCTTTGCAACTATCACCTGGATAAAGCCTTATTGCTGTGGGAATGCCAAGTTGGCCCTTTATCACTTCAGATGGCAGCTGTATGCGAATGTGTGTTGTGTGTGCACAGAGAGGTCTCTTGTACTTGCTGAAAACGCCTGCAGGAATTTACGATTGACATCTTGAGCTCTAATCTTAAAACCAACACGCTCACCCCCAAAAGCTCTCAGCAGCACAGGAACACAAACAAACATTTGTGGATTCCACCGGAATGAAAGGAATGCTTTGCAATGACAATGTGATGCAGGTCAAGAGCAGCGTCCCAGAAGGTGCTACGGGATGGGTGGGGTGGGGGGGGGGGGGACTCAGACAAACTAAAAGGAATTAGTCGGCCCATTTTGGTACCCAGCGCAAAGTGTTGTCTGTCTGTGTGCATGGGTGGAGTTTTCTTTCTTTTGGCATTTCCGTCAATGGCCACAGTCAGAAATGGGCGTTGGCGCCGTTGCGGGACTGAACACAGCCGACTTGATTCCCGGGCAATCGATGCAGCTCCCCTCCATCCTCCCTCATCCCCTTTGAATTGCGGGCAGGGATATGCGCAGTCAACATGGCCGAACGGAATTGTTGGAGTCTGTGCAGGAGATTGGTGCACGCAAAGTATGTTTATAAGAAACTGCAAGAAACATTTGGAAATACATGCGAATGATGTCAAGTTAGCTGCTATAAAGTGGGCAGTTGGAGTCAGCCTTTGACCCCCAATGCTGCGGCCGTGTGTCACAACACACATACACATCCACAGCCACCGGTTGTGTTGTGGTATGCAAATGCTTTTAGAATTAATAATAATAATGAAAGTGCATTCATGCATGAATTTATTTTTACAATGACTCAGAAGAGTCGATGCACACTGTTGTCATATTTCAGAATGAAATACCATGACGCGTCAGCACAGTGCAGAATCTGTCTGCTTGCGCCTCGATCAAGTCCACCAACATCGTGTTACACCACCTGAGCCAAGTTGGTCTTTAGTCTTGTCTATTTTCTGTCACCAAATTGTTAGGTCATGTAACAGACAACGCCCTCAGTCTGCTGGGACGCTCAACCTGGGAAAGTGTGCTCTGCCAAAACACGCTAAACTAGACTTGCCCTGGTATAAAAATGAAGATGTGCCAGTCTACGGCCCTTTGACTCACTCAACTTGCACTCGGCACAGGAACACTTTGAGTTCAACCTTACATGGGTGGGAAACACCTTGCAGCAGAGCTCAGGACTGACCGCTGAGGCAGATGGGCAGTCGGTTTGGTTGCAACTCACTGTTGTCCTTTTCTCTCAAGGAGCCCGGCAGTGCACTTTTAATGAGACACTACCTTCTGACTGGAGAGCACATGAGAGGGATTAGCACTTCAGCACAAACAAGCTGCGATCCCTTTTAGACAGGCCTCTCTTGCCAGGCATGAGATTGGATCTCCACGGGCCTGCAGGTGTATCCCTCCTGATAATCGCTGTGAAGGCGAGCAAAAGCACAGGAAAGAGCTGTGATTGCGCTCAAACTAACAGCACGCCATTGAGGCGAAAGAAGCGGGAGGGGGATTAGACGGGACCACGGCGATGAATGGGCTGTGGGATTTTCACAGGCTGGTCAAATGGAAAAAGGCCAAATTGCAAAACACTTTGGGTCTCACAAATCCATTTTAGTAGTGGAGATATAAAAAGCAGATGTTGCCTCTCATATCTGAACTATCAAGTAAAAGGGGTTAACGCTGGGAAATGAGACATCGGGTGCATTCATGACTCCCCACCTGTACTGTGTTCACATGCATGCATACAATGCATTTAACTGATGCACAGTTCATACTGGGTATATTACAGTTAGTATGTCAATCTATTACCGTCAGTATGATACCTTTTTTTCAGTTTTATTCAGTTCGATTTGATTGCATTGACATAGAGTGCCAAATCACAACAGAAGTGCTCTCAGAGCACCTTTTCAGATGGAGCAGGTCTGAGAACACACTCCACACTTATAAAGAGAAGTGTAGAGGTGCAGGGTTCGATTCCAGGCCTACCTGTGCGGCGTTTGCATGTGGCTGCGTGGGTTTTCTCCGGGTACTCTGGTTTCCTCCCACAAACCAAAAACATGCATGCTGGATTGATTACATGCTCTAAATTGTCCCTAGGTGTGATTATGAGTGTGAATGGTTCTGTGTCTATGTGTGCCCTGCAATTGGCTGACAACTGGTTCACGGTGTCCCCCGCCTACTGCCCGAAGACAGCTGGGATAGGGTCCAGTACGACCGTGACCCTCGTGAGGATAAGTAGCTCGGATAAGGGATTGATGGATATATTTAATATAAAAGTCATCTTTAAACAGTTAAATAGTCTCCACAATGTGAAACCTTGACATTTTTTTTGCCCATAGCTTCATCATTTACATTTTTAAAATAAATTAACAAACTTCATGACACTCTTGTCTTGCACCAAAAGAGGAGGATCACCTTGATTTTGTGAGTTTGAAAGGAGAATAAAAAGGACTGATTTCTTCACTTGTGTAGCAGTGACAAATGGGAGGGTCGGAATGAGCTTGTCTGTCTGTTGACAAGTGTGTCTCTGTTGACAAGATGCTGGTGCTTGTGCTATCCAACAAGCCACGCCATTGTTCTCAGGCCAGCCCTGCTGACCCTGACTAATCAAACAGTTCCTCCTCCTCATCCGGCACTGACACACTGGGATGGAACCGAGGCCAAGCACCGCACTGCTGTTCAGTTAATTCACAACTCTGGGCTCCAAAGAACAGGACCAAAACACGATTATAGTAGCATACTTTAGCAGGACCATCATGAGTTAAGTCAGAAGATTTTCAAAAGCATGCTTGACCCAGCTGTTTGCGTGTGGCATAAAGCTTCTTATTTTTTTGGATGAAGAGTAAATATTTGTCAGCTGTGGGCCATGTGAAACCCTTTGAGACTTTTCTGTGACTAAGGGCTATTTAGTTTTTGGCTTGTTCTGTGCATTGTAGAAATTGTAATTACAATCAGCCGCTTCATCAAAAAGTAACGATACAGATTGGTTTAGTGAAAATCAGTGCTGTCCACTTTTGACCAAATCTTGGAGTGCGACATCGGTCGGTCGCGTGAGGTGGCCCGGGTTACGGTGTGAAGCTCTTGAGGAGTTTGAGTGACGACAAAAAAAAAAAAAATCTCAACAAATCCCAATAAGCCAAACGGAGTTTACGCACCTGACCAAGGGTGACTGAGCACCACCCTGTCAACTTAATAGTGAATTTAGAGAAATATACAACTGTGTGCAGAAAAGAGACTTTCTTAATGAAAGTATGAAACATCCTGAAACCGGCCCTTGAAATAACACGATCACTGAAAAATAGAGAATTCCTTACTTTCAGGCAGAAAATACATCATTTCACTTTTAGGGCAATATCTTCCACACTTTATGGAACAGCAGCTATCAAACAGCTGAACACAAAATAAATACATGCAAATAAAAAAAAAAAAGACAAGTGTCAGCACAAGGAAGCTATTCTTTCAACAAATAAATTGTTTCATATGTTCATTGTGGTTTGCCTGCTGAGCAATATTGCCCTGTTGCTTTTTGTTTTGAAGCTTTTACAAGTGCCATAGAATTCCCAATCGAAGAAGGGCTCAAGTCCATCCATCTTCACTGTCATAATAGATAACAGGCCCCCTTTTGAGCGAAGCTGTTTTGGGTTTTTAAAAAGACATGCTCAGTATCTACATTACTGTGCAGAAAGAAGTATGGTGGTCACTCCAGCTCTGATTATAAAACCGAGTATAACCGAGTATAGCTTGTATACATTGCTGGTATAGACTGCTACCTTCTCACAGTAAATCCAAGTTAACCCCCCCCCCCCACACACACACACACACACACACACACAGTATACACACTTACCAACACAATGAGGGAATTCAACACAGAAACTGAAGTCAAGAAAAAGTGTGCGATGCCGAGAAGTTTTTCTTGTCTTTGCTTACTGTCAGCTTATCAAAAGTGAGCTCATACAGGGGCAACCGATTACAAAGTCTCGAATTGTGGGTGAGCACACCCAACCAGAGACTAGTTCGGGTAGAGAGGGTCACTGCAGCATATTGGAGGCAGGGCACTCAAGTTACAATCATTTTGATCGTGGTGATTATATGACAAAACCATTTGGAGATGTGTCGGCTTAAGAAAAACGATACATGAAGTGGTTTCAGGACATTCGACATACATGGCACATTCGAGAGCAGAGACACTGCGTGTTTTTCACCATTTTGAAGCCTCATTTCTACTTGGTGATAATTTAATCAGTGAAATTTGTCAGGGTTGTTATAAACAACAATAATGTCTGTGGTCTCGCAGATTTACCAGACATATTTTTTCCCACTTCACAGGAACTTCAACATACCTGACCATTCAGTGCTTGGTTAGGTAAAGGGAAGCATTTGAAATTCAGTTCAACACTTAAGAGGCAGGACAGAAAAGCAAGTACTGTACTTTGTTCTAGTCCAACTTTGATGTATCCCCATCAGATTCATATTTAATCATCTATTTTTTTCTTAGGTTTACATAAAGCATTTTAAAAGAGAGACATACATTATGTCATTGAATTTGACAAATGGATACAGTGGTGCCTTGACTTTAGAATTTTTCAAGATACAGCCCTGTCGCTTTTTTTTGTCTTGAGAGACAAGCAAAAATTTGAGATAGGAGTGCACTTCAGACGCCTACCGCTTCACAATATCGGGTCACCGTCATTTCCCTTTCCTACTCGTGCTGGGACAGTATCAGTTGGGTGCAGTATATGCACCATTAAGCTGGTTTGCCAACGTCGATAAAGCTCACAGAAGAAAGACCAGGAAGGACATGAGGTGGAATTGCGTTTTTGGCTCACACTTTCTATTTCTATTTCTCTTTATGTGTTATGTGGAGACGAAACGTTATTACTACTGCATGTGTTTTAATACATTACCATGCTGCTGAGTGCATTTCTTCTTCCACAAAACATGTTAAGAATAGAATGTGGGTGTTTTTTCAGAGTTTAAGTCCAAATTGGATGACTTATCAAGTCCCCCTGGGTTTCCCAGCCACCGTTGGTTGCACAGAATGGGACGCATCGTAGTACATGAGCTAAGGGTCATAAATCCAAGGGCACCACCTAAATGCCTAAATGTCTTTTCCAGCAGACATATGCGTCTCCCTCCAATCATCAGATGGCTCCTCCAAGCCCCAGCAGCAACAGCGGCAATACCAGCACCATCAGCAACATCAGCAATAATGGCGTCGAGCAGCTAAGCAAAACCAACCTGTACATCCGTGGCCTCCACCCCGGAACCACAGACCAGGATCTGGTCAAACTCTGTCAGCCGTAAGTCACCCAGCAAGCAACTGATCCAAAATGTAAATGTACAAGCTATACATCTTCTCTCATGAGGCCGCTAAGAGGAGCAAGGAGATGTTAGGAACAGAGAGTGACGGCTGAAGGCACAGCTGATGGATGACTGTCTCAATGTGTTTGGATGGAAAAAAATCCAGTGCAAGTTGAAATAAGTATGAATGATGAAGCTCACTGTTGCACACTGAAAGAAAAAGTGGTAGATTTTTGGTTGCACATGATTAAAATGTCTGAAACTAACACTTTGGTGTGTGTGTGTGTGTGTGTGTGTGTGTGTGTATATATATATATATAGATAGATAGATAGATAGATAGATAGATAGATAGATATATATTTTTTTTAGGAAAACCCAGGAAAACGACAGGTTTACCTGTGCACATTTTAATCACATGCAACCGATGTACATGTTCAGTCAATCCAAAGGATCCTTTTTTTCAATGTAGACATTTGTGGCATGGAAAGGTTCATTCCAGTCATGTTGTGTGGGGAAAAAAAGGCCACTGAGTTTGTTGCAGCTGTGCACAATCTTTCCAACAACTTGCGCCTCGCTCCGTGTAATGAGTTCTCATTACATTTCAACTCGTACGACTTGTATGACTTTAGCTCTCCAGCGTTGTATGACTTTAGCTCTCCAGCGCTGCGCTTCTTCTAAGTTCTTTCAAATGCCTCATGATATTTTGGGAGTTTTGAAAAGAACGCTGTGACATCAAACAGTAGTAAACGCCAATCAATCGGACATGTTTGTTGGAGCTCCAGTGGAAGCCTTTGAAACAAGCACGGCGGAGAGGAATGATCCATGCGAGCGTAATTGAGGACTGAAGCCTGGCGATGAGAAGCAACGGAGCACAGAAAATGTGACCGAGGAAAAGAGTGAGAGAAAAGGAGGGAGCGTGAGTAAGTCAGGGAGGCAGGAAGGGAGGGGGAGGCCTGCTCTTTTACAGCTGTCTGGAAGATATGGCTCACATGAGGCTGCCCAACCCAACAGGAAACGACGAGCCCAGGGGGAAAGGGAAAGACAAACATGGCAATGGCATGAACGGGGGCTGGGGGCTGGATGTGGATGGAGAGAATCAGAGAGGCTTGGAGTGAGTTGGGTTCACTTTGTGGGTCAGGTGGTGCTCTGTTCTGCGGGGGTGGTTCTCATATTTCTGCTTTTACGCAGCCTGATAAAATCACAGCATGAAATTTGCCTTTTAACGCAGCACATTAGGGGGCTCAAAGAGAGGATTAGGTTTCCAACAACATTTACTGGAAGGAACAGATTCATGATTATTACCATAGCTGCCTGTGTAGAACAGCAGGCAGTCGTGTCAACGATGGATCGTGACTGACTTTGCTCAAGTTTGAGGCTACAATTAGAGGACAGCTCCCCTCCCCCACTTGCACTGCGTAGGCAGATGAGAGCAGTGGACGGGGGTTGGCCTCCAGTTGTATCCGCCGGGTGCTGCTTTGTGGCGCTGGTCCACGGCTGCTCCTTGACCCTGGATGGACATCGGGCTCGTCTCTGGATCCTCTCCATCCTTCCTGCGCCTCTTCTCCACTACCAATCATCCTATTGTGAATGGGAAGCACGCAATCAAAGCATTTGCGCGGCTCTATCCAGATGTAAGATGGCAGCTTTGTTTTGCAGTCGATGGGTACGGCGTGGAGTTGGAAATAGAGTAGACCGTGAAAGAGTCAGGCCTGGCAGGAGCTCCCATCAATAATACAGATGGCCACTTAGGCAACCAGTGGACGATAGCAATGAATTTCTCACTGACATGACCATATCCTGCAATTTGAAATGGACATTTGATGACATGTCCTTATTTATCCAGTCCTGAAAAAACGCCACCTCCGATCCAAGTTGCCACAATCCAACAGAGGAAGCATGACATCCCAGTTCTTCGTACGTAGGCTGTTTCTTAAACCTTATGAATGAAATGTGACAGTGGTGCAGTGTGGATGGATAGCCGTGAAGGCTATGACGGTGCCTGGAGTGAGGCTGCTCAGCAGAATGAGAATGTGGCTGAGCGCCAGCATTGCGCAGGACAGCCCAGGAGAGGCATATCCCATTACACTGCATGCACATGCAGGCTCTTTTACCAGGACAATATTGGATTGAATGAAATAATTCCTGTTTCTTGTTTCACCAGCTATGGGAAAATCGTGTCCACAAAGGCTATACTGGACAAGACAACCAACAAGTGCAAAGGTGAAAATGGAGCACTCCAAAATTGTTTCTTGCATCTATTGCATGCTTTGTAAAGTCTTTTAGAGAATTTTCACAAAAATCTTTCATGTTAAAATAGTGACTGTCCTTCCCGAGTGTTTATGGAGTTTGTCACCCACTGTATAGTCACACTCCCTCTTCTCGTGTGGTATGGATGGTCCCTGAAGTTCTTTCATCTTGTGTTTTCGCAGGCTATGGCTTTGTGGACTTTGACAGTCCAGCCTCGGCTCAGAAGGCAGTGACAGCGCTGAAGGCGGTGGGCGTGCAGGCTCAGATGGCCAAGGTACGACGAGCGCCACTGGATATGTCAATCATGCTCATTATCACCCGCAGTCTCTTGAACAGACATATAGAAATGTTCATCACTCATCTGAAATGTTAGCAAAAGTGTGGACACTATTAGTGTAGAGATCGTTTGATGGGGTTGAGATCATCTTATGGTCAAGTTCTTCCACACCAGACTCATCCAAAGGTGTCTTTGTGAACCATGCTTAGTGCACTGGGACATAGATAACGCCCCCTCCTCCCTTGGGCTTTTAAATATAAATAAATCCGAAGGTACGTGTCATAGAAGCTGAACTGATACTTCTAGACTGAGGAACAATCTGGACATGTTAAGGAAGAACTAAATTTAGCCTGGGTTATGGAGGTGTTAGAGATTCATTGCTGCATGTACTTCCGGTGCATATTTATTTTTGTTTGTTTGTTTGTTTATTGTTTATTGATTATATAATATATACAATACAGTAATAAATTGACAGAAAGTGAAGGTAAGTAAAATTGTAAGAAAGGAAAAGAAAACAGTCATCATACAGCACAATTATATGTTCAAAGGAGTTGGAAGAAGTAAAAAACTTATCTAGTCCTACCCCTTGTTATGTAATAATATATAAATTTTTCAGTCAGAAAAGAAAAGGAAAAAGTCTGCATATCAACATATGCTTTTACCCTTATGTGTGCTATACGGTTTGTATATACGTACACATTCTAGCACATTTATATGTCAATTTTCTCATATTCATAATGGATATTGCATTTCATTACTGCGTTTAATAAGTTTATCAATGTAATTCTGATGGATAACTATATTTAATAAATGTATCAAATTTACCAGCTTAATTCAGATTTATGTAGTTTTATTGTACTATTCTCTTGAATTTGTTTTTGAATTCTGGAAGCGAATCACTCATTTTCAGGTCAGTTTCAAACTTATTCCACAGAGTAACACCGATTACAGATATACTCCTTTGCTTGATGTTTGTTCTTGTTTTGGATTTTTTGTATAGGTTGGTACCCCTTAAATTATAGCAACTTTCTCAAATTTCAAAAAGCTTCTGGATGTTTTGGCAAAGGAGGTTATTGTGTGCTTTGTCCATTAATTGGGCGATTTTGAAGTCAACCAGGTCATAAAATTTCATCGTGTTTAATTTGATAAATAGTGGATTCATGAGTTCCGTAAATTTAGATCTATTGATAATTCTGATTGCTTTTTTTTTTGTAGTTTTAAAACAGGGAGTGTGTTTGTTTTCCAGGCGTTTCCCCATATTTCCACACAGTAGGTCATATATGGTAGTAATAATTAAGAATATAATGTGTACAAAGATCTCTTATTCAGCACATCCTTGGTTTTGTGGAGGATCCCTATGGTTTTGGATATTTTTCTTTTAACATGATCTATATGTGGCTTCCAACATAGTTTTGCATCTATTACTACTCCAAAAAACTTATTTCTATAAGCTCTTTCTATTTCAATTGAGTTTACCATAATTTTAACTTGGTGTTTGATTGGTCTCGTGCCAAAAACAATTAACTTTGATTTTTTTCAAGTTAAGTGACCATTTATTCCTGTTTATTCCTGACCCAGTTTTTTAATTTGTTTAATTCATTTTCCAGTTTTCAGGAGCGGTTTCAGATTTTCTCCAGAGCAGTAGAAAGTTGTATCACCAGCAAATAGGACACATTTGAATTGTTTTGAGTCACTGCAGATATCATTTGTATATAAGATGAATAGTTTTGGACCAAGCATAGACCCCTGAGGAACTCCATGAGTGATCGATCTTCAGTTGATTAGAGTTTTTATTGTTGAACTGCACATATCTGTTATCTAAATAACTTTAAATCCATTTATATGCTACGCCTCTAATGCCATAGCGCTCTAATTTATTCAATAATATACTATGATCTATAGTACCAAAGCTTTTTTTAGATCTAGAAAAATCCCAACCGTAAATTCTTTGTTATCTATATTAGTGGCTATTGCTTCCACAAACTCCATTTAGGAAATTAAGAGATCTGGAAGCCAGTTTATTTTTAAGGGTAATCTTTTGGGATGACTATAATGACTGATAGAAATGTGTCATGGCTCGTTTATGGTTTGAAATGATTCATAGATGCAATTATAAACGTTGTTTCTGCTGTTGGGTGGTTGGTCCCCATCCCTCCCAGAGAGCGTGTTGATGGCCTATAGGTGAAGTAGAAGTGACCTACAACTTTTGTGCACAACCACAGTGTTTTCCCATGCTTCATCGGGCTCCTTCCCGTTTTCTCTTTGTCACATAGGAGCCCTGCTGCACAACGAAAAGCCAATTAAGCCACCACTTGTGTGTGTGTGTGTGTGTGTGTGTGTGTGTGTGTGTGTGTGTGTGTGTGTGTGTGTGTGTGTGTTTTGCGTACGTGCGCGTTGGCAGTGACGCGCATGGCCGTATGCTTCAACCTGTGTATTTATGGGTATTAATGCACAGTAGAATACATGGGCGCACAAACATCACTCCATGAATACACACAGGTATAATTGTGTGTGTGTGTGTGTGTGTGTGTGTGTGTGTGTGTGTGTGTGTGTGTGTGTGTGTGTGTGTGTGTGTGTGTGTGTGTGTGTGTGTGTGATTCATCACTATGAGGAAGGTTTCCCTGTACAAAGGTGCTGCCTGTTCTCCCTGGTGGCATCTGACTCAGTGTCTGAGCAGCTCCCCAGGCAGCAGGGCCCATTGCCCAGCCGGCCGCCATGTCAGTACACACACATACGCACCACGCACAGGGAGAGAGGTAGAGAAGCACACAGACATTGGAATGGCCTTGCCCCAAACACATTCGAACACTCTCTCACATACACACAGTCTGGGAAAGCCGATACGCCGTTAAGCTGGATCTCTGACATTCATGCGGCTTCTTCCTGCTCACAAAATAATAACTTGATTTTCACTCACCGCTTCACGGTGGCTTTACAAGCAGGCTTATGTTTGCGTCACATTACTGTGGAGCTCATTGGAAGCCGCAGCGGCTGCCCCCCTCCTGCGTTTGCTGTCGTGGTGTTGAAGGGAGCAGGTGGGGCGGCGTCTCACCTTCACCGCAGGTCAAAGCTGTCACGCACGCATTGCTAATGGAATGGAAATTCATTCAAAGTGCGTTGACAACTTTGAATCCAATCTACACTCCGAGATCATGTGCATTGTGGGGACATGGCTACACGCTACTTTGATGAGGGAACACAACGGATGGTCGCTTCATTTTGTCATTTGTTCAAGTTTGGTTGCAGCATCAGTGCGTGATTGCCGCAAGAAAATGAAGTTATCTTCCACTTGGCGTTTGTTTGTGCTTGAGGTCATCACCCGTCGTCATCACAACTGAACGTGAACCAGTGAGCATTAAAGACAGTGATGGAACTGATTTGGAGAAGCCAGATATTTCCCTTCCATTGTTTTGATGTTGTGAGTTTCTATACAGTCTGAGTGAAGCAGCGTGCTGGGAGCACATTTCTGAACGCATCCACGATGAGTGGGCGGTGATTTTAGGGGCGACGAGCCATCTCGGTTTTCGTAAAACAACTCCCCCCAAATTAAATTTGACTGGTCTGATTTAGGAGAAAGAGCAAATCGGCAAAATAGCGAGGTAAAACTGCAATAGATGAAATTCTAGTCACAAATCCGTGATCGCATGAACCCACAATAACCAAAGTGAGTGAACACTGTATATCTGGGTTCTCTTTTTTTCTGGTTTGTCCCACACAAACTTGGACATGTCCCAAGTTGTGAGATGGTCTTTCCTGGTGAAACGAGAAAATTCCGAGCGTTACGTTTACAACTTCCCTGACAGCTTTCATCGAGTACGTCTTTCTCTCAAGCCTATGACTTTGTCACCCTTTCTGACTCCCTTCTGGCCTCTCTGCTTTCAGCAACAGGAGCAGGACCCCACCAATTTGTATATTTCCAACCTGCCGCTTTCCATGGACGAGCTGGAGCTGGAGAACATGCTTAAGCCCTTTAGCCAGGCTATTTCGACACGCATCCTGCGGGACGCCAATGGAATCAGCCGAGGAGTGGGCTTTGCCAGGTACAAACGCTGGCTATTTCATCATGTCAGTGTAAAAACAAACCAAAAAAAAAACAACAACAGCAACAAGAATAAAAAAACAAGCTTCCTTGGACATCATTTGAGCAGCAAACATTGAAAGACGTTTCAAGGACTCGTGCCTTCATTTAAACCTCAACTCAATTATTTGGCTTTGAAGCCGCCACTTTGGATGAATTCTGGAGTTTGGTGACAAACTTCGCCTGAAAGGGCTCCAATCTGAGCCAAGTATCATTAAATAGATCAGAACATTATTTATTTATTTCTACAAACATTATTTACAGCAAAACTCTGAGTTGCTCGGTCTATGCCAGCGGCACAGCGTGACAGGCTCAACAACAAACAACCTCGATTTGCAATTTTGGGTCTTTCTTTGGGGTGCTGTGCTTTGAGATTTTTTTCTGTGAAAATTTAGTTTGCTGGCTCAAGAGAGGGCGGCCCGTTGGTCAACTGGTTAGCGCGTCGGCCTCACGGTGCAGAGGTCCAGGGTTCGATTCCGGCTGTGTGGAGTTTTCATGTTCACTCCGTGTCTGAGTGGGTTTTCTCCGAGTATTTGGGTTTGGCTAACCCTAACCCTAACCCACATTCCAAAAATTACATGGCAGGTTAACGGAACACTCTAAATTGTCCCTAGGCGTGAGTATGGATGGTTGTTCGTCTATGTGCGCCCAGTTCAGGGTGTCCCCCGCCGACTGCCCGAAGACAGCTGGGATAGGCTCCAGCACGCCCTGCGACCTTTGTGAGGATAAGCCAATCAGAAATTGGATGGATGGATGGATGGATGGCTATTTGCAAGCTTGTTTTTGCCTTGAGTAGGCACCACACAGCACCAAAGTTTATTCATCATTGTATTCATATATTTTACAGGATGGAGTCAACAGAGAAATGTGAGGCCATCATCCAGCATTTCAATGGAAAATATATCAAGACTCCACCCGGAGTTTCAGGTGACTCATTTGTGTTATTTGTTGAGGAGACAGCTTGTTTTGTTTGGTTTTCAAAAGGAAATGTTCCACTCTCTGGGGTACAAGTCAAATAACGCTCCAACATAAACATGCATTGACCATTCAAATGTCGACGCAAGTGCCAAAACAGCTACTGCAACTTTTTTTAGAATTGATCCTATCGAGTATTCAGTCCAGCTGACAATTTTTTTCCTGGTAAAATGTCTGAGGAGCAAACATCTATACCAGTGGTTCTTAACCATGTTAGAAGTACCGAACCCAACCAGTTCATATGCACATTCACCGAACCCTTCTTTCGTGAAAAATAAAAATTCAAGACATTAAAAAAATGCATTTATTAAAAACAGCAAAAAAGTCAATACAAATTTAAGACATATAAGTCTAAGTTTTTTTAATTGTATGGTCGAGGCTCTGTCGAACCCCTGAGACGATTCACCGAACCCCAAGGGTTCGATCGAACCCAGGTTAAGAACCACTGATCTATACAAATAACACTTAAGTTTGCCAAAGTTGATGTATTTTAGCATTCCGCTTAGCTTAAAGTAAACACACTTTTTATATGAAAGTTCTTATAAGCCAGGGTCTGGCGCCTCTTTTGGCCCTTTCGCTCTCTGCTCAGCCCGCAGAGAACGTGAGGACTAAACAATGAAAGCTCTGACCATGACTGTCACGCTCACCTGCTCTGTATTTAGTTTTTGTTCACATTTCCCACAATATTCATGTCACGTTACACTGCTTCTTGAGCGATGTGTTGATAAGACACAGGCGGGAAGCTATGCTGAGCTAAGTTAGCCGGAGAAGCTTTAACATGCACCGTGGTAAATGAAAGGACGGAAGACCCTTGGCTCCCATCAACTAGTGATGGGATGTACAGTAATCCCTCGTTTATCGCGGTTAATGGGGACCAAAACCACCCGCGATAAAGGAAAATCCGCGAAGTAGCGACCAATTAACATATACAGGTTAAAAAAAAAAAAAAACTTTTTTTTTTTTTAAGCCCGCAAAAAGTCCGCAAACGGTCCGCGAGAAGCTGCAAAACAACAGCGAGTCACATAGAGCAACATATACAGTACTGTACTCCATGTATAAAAATCCGCCATGCACTGAAGCCGCGATAAACGAACCGCGAAATAGCGAGGGTTCACTGTATTGTGACCAGTCTTAAACTTGCTTTGTGGTAATTTAACAGCAAAGCTGAGTTGTTATTTACCTCTTGCAGCACGTGTTCGCCCCTTTGTCGTCACGCATGCGTCTTTCTTTGTTGCCATCTCCGAGTTTCGTCAGCTCCACTTTGCAGTAATTTCATTCAACTTTTTGTCCTTCTTAGTCTAAGGGTGAGCCCAAACTTTTAGGCAACCATTTAAATGTTTGAGAATGTCTCCATTGGAAGGAAGGAAGTCGGGCTTGGTCCTTCAGCAACAAATGTCCATGCGGAAACATGAAAAGGGGGCCCAACTTTTATTCCACATGGCACAAATATGGTTTCAGCTTTATTCATTTTAGTTTCAAGGCACAAATGTTTGTGTCGACTTCATCGAGTCAGCCAATCCCCCCCCGCCCAGCCCTAATTCTAAACAATTCAGAAGTCATGTCATAATTACAGCTAATATTTTGTATTTGTATGAAAATATTTTCTCTGAAAAAAGAGAACAATGATCAAAAAAGGAGAATGCTCTACAGTTTACACTATATTCTGTATTTCTTCAACTAAAACATACTTCAATGTCCTGGTCCAGTTCCACCAGAGCCTTTATTGTGTAAATTTGCTGATGGAGGCCAGAAGAAGCGCCAGAGTCAAGGAAAATATCTGCAAAACGGACGGAGCTGGACCAGAGATGGAGAGACTGTGAGTTCATTTTTCTTGAGCCCAACCAGATTTGTTGTCCTCAAACATTTACTCCAAGTACCAGCTACAAAAGTACTGAGCCATCATGACCACTATGTGCCACAGTAGCTTAGTAGGCCTAAGTGTTCATGAAAAATCACAATCATCTGTGCATGCACTGTAATGGGTGCATTTTGTGTAATGTGCACTACAAAGATTACATTTGCAAAAGGGACTATGTTTGTGGGTGGCTACATGCCTGCATGTGAACTCAATAAAACATACGAAGAACAAGAAACACAAAAGCAGATATCTCCATTGGTTGTGAAATGAGTTTTGAAAAAATTCTCGTTCCAGGTTCAAGCTAACCATTTTGATTTAGGCTTTTCCAAGTTCATATCGTATGAGGAAATGAAGAAAAATTAAATGAATAAAAGAAATCTGTGCCCAATGTCTAATGTCATTTTCCCTGCAGGGTGGAATGACCCTTACATATGATCCCAGCACCGCCTTAGCAAACGGGTCAGTAAAGAGCAGTGTGCATGGATGAAGGAAGGGAAGACTTTGTGCTGTGTTGACTAAAATGCGCTACCATCTGTCCAGGTTCTACTCCTCTCCCTACAGCATGGCTCCCAACCGGATGATCGGGCCCGCCTCGCTTTCTCCTTACATGCATTCACCTGTGTCCGCCTACCAGGTACACGCAAGTGCTTGTGGGAATTTGTTCTCATTCAAAAAGTCAACACAAGTGATGACAAATGTGACAAAATTTTCACATTTGCTTGCTTGCCAGGTGCATAACCCTTCTTGGCTTCACCACCAGTCGTACATCATGCCGCCCACGGTCAGTCACTCCCATCCCATTGCCTTTTGCGCAATTTCGTTCCTTCTTTCTTTTTTTAAAATTGAATGTAATTTAATTCGTTAATTTTTTTGTTTTGCTCACACTTGTGTTGTTGTCATAAAGGGAGCTGTCCTGACGCCGGGGATGGAGCACACCATGTCCATCCAGCCTACGTCCATGATGGCGCCCCTGGCACAGCAGCTCAGTCACCTCTCCATGGGCAGCAGCGGCACGGTCAGTAATCCGCACATTGTTAAATGCATTGATTGAGTCACAATTGGGTCGACCAGTCAGCAGCCAACTGGCTGCGCCGTGCAGCGGGTGGGCAAAGCGGCAGGTTTTAAACCGGATGGATGGGTTCAGTCAATCATAGATGACATTAAGAAAAAAAAAAAAAGACTCAACATAGCGGCACAGTCATCGACTGGTTAGCACGTCGGCCTCATGGTGCAGAGGTGCAGGGTTCGATTCCGGCTCCGGCCTTCCTGTGTGGAGTTTGCCTGTTCTCCCCGTGCCTGCGTGGGTTTTCTCTGGGTATTCTGGTATCCTCCCACATTCCAAAAACATGCATGACAGGTTAACAGCACACTCTAATCAGTGGTTCTTAACCCGGGTTCGATCGAACCCTGGGGGTTCGGTGAATCGGTCTCAGGGGTTCGACGGAGCCTCTGCAATGAAGGTTAAGACACACCCGACGCAACATGTCAATTAGTTATGACACGCCCGCTTGTCCATCACTGACTGCAGATGATTACATTACATTGGTTGTCCAATCAGTGCAGTGGGAAATTTAGTTCACTCAGTAGTCAACGTGTGACTGTCGCGATAGTACGTTGTACAATTTAAAAAAACTATGCTTAGACCATGTAAGTGTATTTACTTTTTTTCTGTTTTTCATAGTTTTTTTTTTTTTTTTTTTATGTCTTGAATTTGTAAAATATCAATTTTTTATTTTTCACTAATGAAAGGTTCGGTGAACGTGCATATGAACTGGTTGGGTTTGGTACCTCTAACAAGGTTAAGAACCGCTGCTCTAAATTGTTCCTAGGTGTGAGTGTGAGCGCTGATGGTTGTTTGTCTATGTGTGCCCTGCGATTGGCTGGCAATCGGTTCAGGGTGTCCCCCGCCTACTGCCCGTAGACAGCTGCGATAGACTCCAGCACAAATCTAACTGGCGTCAGTCAAATACATTTTCCCACTTTTTTTCCACTGAAAGCACTGACTTTCAGTTGACAGTATTTGGACTTTAGGGGGACACTGTCCTGTCTTACATTGCAATTATTTTTCAGTACATGCCTGCAAACACATCTATGCAAGGGACGTACATCCCCCAGTACACCCAAGTGCCTCCCGCCAACATCTCAGTCGAGGTAAGCACACATCCAAGCTGTGTACAAAAATGGCTCCTCCAATGCCTCATGAGGCTCACATTCCCGTCCTCCATGTCAGGAAAGTGCCGTCCAACAGCCTGTTGCAATCGAGACACGCACTGAACACACAAGCTACTCCTACCAGCATGACAAGTGAAGGCAACAGTGAGTTGGAATCATTGCCTGCATGCATACGTTACCTTTTATTGATTGAATTATTTTCAACTCTACATCTCTAAAAGTAACCTTTGTGTTGTCAGATCTCTCTTTTGAAGAACATGGACTGTTACACAAAGAGGACACTTTGTAGTTTTTTTTTTTTTGGTTGGTTGGTTGTTTTTTTTGTTCTTTTGGAACTACTCCAGTCTGACAAAGATGGTGAATGTCAGGCGAAAAGGCGTTTGGATGGACTGAAGTAGGCGACTGTATTTTGATGAACACACATTTCAAGCCAACATGTTTTGCTTTGGTTTGTTCTGTGGGGAGCTTTTCCCCGCTTCTTTTTGTTGTATATATACTTGTGTTTGTTGGTGTGATTCTTGCTCCTTGTGCCCCCAATGTTTGTTAAAAGACAAAGCAACTTGAGTCCGTTTAGGAGACATTTACTCCCAATTTGACAGCGTAACTCTTTAAATTTGGGTGGATGACAGAGGGGTGGGGGGGCGTGAATGATACAGTGGCAGTTGAATCTGTTCTGAAAGCTAACTAGAAGAGAGAGGGGAGTGTTGTGCTCAAGTCATTTCCGGATGCAAGCGTCCTGACGACGCTTTCGACAATCAGACAATTCCTGTAATCACGGTGCTTGATTAGAGAGAGAAGAGCAACATTGATTGAATCATTCCAGTGAATATCTTTGCTTGTGCTTAAAAGAAGTGCTAATCATGTTGCTTTCCGTACTACAGTCACACCTGACTTCTTGGAATATTCAAACAAGTTGGCCTGCACATCACGAGTGCATTTTCTCCTTTTCTGCAAAAGGGCTGACATCCCCCAATTGTATTTCTACCAAACTGTCTACATCCATATGATAAAATATGGACCGCAGGTGTAAGAAGCATAGCTCTGCCTTCTTGTGGCCAATGGCATGCTTTCATACTGGCCTTTTTGTTGTGACTGCTTTATGTTTTGGGGTGTGCTATTTTTGTATTATTTAAATGTTTTCGGTTTCATTCATGTATGATGTTTTTCAGATTCATCCTATTTTTCAAAGAAACCCTGATTTTTATTTTTGATAGTGTGTTGTGTGCATCAACGGTGTTTCCATATTTTTGGTATGTTTAAACGTTTTATTTGACGTTCTGTGTGTCGTTCAATGTCATCGAGGCTTTAATGTGTATTTTTGTTTTGTTTGTTTTTCCAGCTATTTCTTTTGCATCTGTTACAAACTTCATGAGCATGATTCCTGATCTGGAATTGATTCTTTGTTGTTGAGGCTACGTTTACATCACGTTCCCAGCAGCCACGGCAGCCCCGTTTGCCCGAAACGTCCTGCACGACAGGGTTTTCGACATATTTTTCCTCCGTGTTAGATTCTCAGTCTGTTGTGGTGCCGCACTATGTTTGAGTTTACCGGACGTTTTTGGATCCTTCATACATAGCACACTGTGTGAATGATTTCTGCAGATCAACGTCTGACACCCGGCATCGTTGGAGCGTTTATTGTCCCAGCAGTCATTTGAAGCTCCAGAGTGCGCACCCTCCATACAACCTTTGATGAAATTGTAGTATGTTTTCTGTCAACGACAAATTCATTAGTCCATCTTTTTGTTCCGTGCAAAACAGCCTGTGAACATATGAGATTGTGTTGCCGTGCTCCCGTCCACTTTGCACCGCCTCCTAATCGTTCCATGTTATTATGAACTGTACTCTCACATTTGATTGCGTCCACCCCCGTCTCCCTTTGGCAAACTAGTTTTCTCCTCAGCACTGGGACAAAATGTGACGATTTCTACATCTTGCCTGGCATCCACGGCCTGTCACGTTTGCCCTCCCGTTCCCCCACGTTGTCTCACGGCCGTCCCTTTGTGTCCATGTTGTTGCCACGGCTGCTGGGAACGTTGTGTCGAGGTGGCGTTGAGGTTTAGATGCTACAAACAAACTTACCTCATCTTCATAGGTTCAGTTTTGTGTAAGGGCTTACAGGCAATAAGCAGTTTTAGTAGGCTGTTCACAGCTGGTACTGTGTCAATATCCTGTATGTCCTCCTTCCAAACTGCGCCAATCAAGTCCAAGGTCTGATGATCTATGCAATTAATTTATAACCCTTACAAAGGCAATAGTACACTTCCCAAAAATATGACCTCACAGTGGGCACCTTTAAGTGCTGTGACAAATGGAGACTGCATAATAAAGGGAACTTTTGTTGTGATGGGGTTGTTGTTGAAACACTACGAACTTGATGATGTCCAGGCTCTGACCATCCACCTTATTTTGCTGAGGTCACTCATGTCTTGTTTTTGTCTGACCCCGTAGCTGACCGTTTGCGTAGCTACAGTACATCCCGGACACACAGGCTGGCTGATCACGGCAAAAGGGCAATTGAAGTGATTTCCGTGAACCATGAAGCTGCTCCCGCTCACTTTCAGGGCCCGATTCCACATCACGGCAATGCCTTAGATCCACAGGGACGATGGAATTGATTGGCTGACTTCTAACGGTCATGTTGTTGGTATGTCGAACCACTTGGAGCATACGTTTGGAAAGCAATATCGCATTTAGAGCATTTGATTGCCGCTTCGTGTACACAGTCATTCCATTTTTTTTTTTTTTTTGTGTGTGTGTGTGTGAGTGTGGTTTTCAACATGTTGAGGTGGCTCACTGGGACTAATGAATGATTGCTGCTAATTTGGGATGGCTCCACTTTTAGGAATGTTTGGCCACATCAAATGTTGGGACCAGTTCACATCTTTGTGTGTCTGTGTCATGATGCCGCTCGTTACATCCGTCTATCAGGAGAACCCGAACAGCTTTTGACTTTCATAAACTGTCCTTTTTTTAAAATAAATTTTGACCTCCACCAAGGAGGCATATGTTTTCAGCCATGTGTGTCAATTTGTTTGTGTAAAAAAAAAAAAAAAACTAGGTTTGGAGATGCTTCTAACCACAGGATAGTTTTCAGAAATACATGACGACATCAGGTGTTTCTTCAACAGTCTTTTTTTTTTTTTTTAAGTTCAGTCGATATGGGGCAGTGGAGAGGTGTCACCACATTTGGATTTGTTTAATGTGCTGCAGCTCTGCCAGGACACATGACAATGGATTTTCATGCATATGATTTTTTTGTAGAGTGAGTCGATTGACAATGAAGACTTGAGAATTTATTAAGAGACTTACTACAGAAAAATAGGAAGTACAAAAAAAATAACATGTTGAAGTTTAAAATATATACAAAGTTTAAAATATTCTGAATATATCCAAAAATGTTGACTCACATCCATAAAATAGACTTTGAACCTTAATTTACAATCTATGATAAAGACTCATCAGTGAGGAAATGACGTTTTGTTTTCACCCTTCCTTTTCAGGGGACTAAGACCACAGTCGATACTGAACTTGGGTTCACCTGCTGGTCAACAGCAAAGCAAAACAGCATTCCAATAACCTGGTTGCATTTTAATCAAATTACAAAAATAGTTCTGTTTTGTAATGGAAATGTGCATATTACAGAAACTCAAGTACAACCTGCATGGCCCAATAGTAAGGCTCCATGGAGTTTTGTTTTGTTGGCATATTTCATTTTCCTGTACAGAAGTACATTTTGTTGCTATGATAAAATACACACTTGTCTCCCACCCAGACACATCTCTGCTTCAAGCCCAACACCGTAACTGACAGTGGTGAGCGACAATAACTTGGCTGATAAAACCTGCAGCGGTTAGACTAAAAGGATGCTCCATGCGTGAGCAAACAGTCACAATAAAACCCATAAGTGGGGCAGTCAGAATTTGAGTTATGCACCTGAGCTCTCATAAAGACAGTCAATTTGGTGTGAATCTTTTATCCACATCACAACTCAATATTGAATTTACTTGCGACAAATGCATTCAATGCTCATAAGACATGCAAAATTGCATTGTGTGAAGATCCCTGCCTGCAGTGACACTTTGTAATCCTGACCGAGTAATGTTTGAGTTTCATGGAACTCAAACATGAGTTCCAGGATCATGGCTATCATGGGTTTCCCATACTGGTTGTAAGACTCACTTTTGTTTTTATTTTAGTGTGTGTGTGTGTGTGTGTGTGTGTGTGCGCGCGCGCGCACACGTGCGTGCACGCATGCAAGGAGGCCTAGACGTAACTCCAACCCCGGGTAGGGGTCTGGGAGACAGTGCTTGGTGCTCCAGCAGCACCCTGTTGACCAAGGTGAGAGAGTGGTAGCGTCAGTCCCTGTTCTGATGAGCTGGTGTTGCAAGAAGACTAAATGTGCCCTGCAAAACCACTTTCATAACAGCTTCCGGTTGACTATCTCCCAAACCATCCTCCTCCTGAAATATGGCATCTGCTTCTGCAAAAAGGACAGCAGAGCTCATTGTCATGATGACTACGCACAACCATCCCACTTGGTTGACCACCTACCTGTGTGAATGTGATGGGCTTGTCTTTGGTAATGTAATCTGCATATTTGCATGTGAACATTCCACAGTCACTGCCGTTCATCTGCTGTGGGATTTCCTGTTCAGGACAAAGGATGAACACAAATGCTAATACAGTACGTAACGGAGATGCACGTCACCAATCAAGATTAACTCTTGCTTATGCAAACTTGCTTGAAATTTTCCACTAATTTTGATGACCTTGCGGGGGATGTACTGTTCTGTTATCTACATTAATGTAAATTAATAAAAAATAAATTCTTCACTAGTGTAGCTCAAACAGGTAGCATGAATGAAAAATAAGCCATTTTGAATTTTTTAGAAACATTTTGTCAACAGCGCAAAAGCATGCCATTGGTTCACAAACACATCGGATGAGCTCATAATGTGGCAGGACTAGTCTGGCCGTGGCAATGGATAAAGTGTCTTATGTCTACAAGGTTTAATGCTGTTAATATGACACGGCACTTGATTTCCTCTCCCAATGATTTGCACTGGTAAGAGGGGAGTAAATAAAACAAACGCGGCCATTGTGGTAACACTGGATGTGAAGCAACTGTGCTTGCGTTCCTCTCAGTGCATGTTGACCACTGACAAAGCAGTAGAGGTGCCTTACTGGCACCAAGAGCATTGACCTTTCTGACTGGGAAGAGACAGAGACAAGTTGGCCTACAGAGACACCTGGGGGACAAAATAAAAGTGTGTTTGAATTCACTTAGGAAACCTGCAGAAAGGGACTCCTCTAAGTGTGAAGAAAAATTTGGGACGTGATGACGTACTCTCGAACATCATACGTCATCGCGTCCATTTGTGTCATTCCCTACTGCATAACAACGGAGGGTGGAGAGCGTAAGCAGCACTACAACTTCAACCTCGTGCTAAAATGAGGATTTTTGTGCCCACATTGAGAGCTACCACTGTCGTGTGGACGGGGGATCGCTTCAAGAGGACAGATATCCTGCAAAATATAATCATTTCAAACTACATAAGGAAACAGTTACTGCTAAACTTAAGAGGCAACACACCAAATATGTTTTTGGCGGCCTACATCTTAAACACACGGCTGAAATATGAGCAGGCTAGAAGAAACACGATGACATGAAAACAGGCTGTGTGGTTCGGAGTGAACAAATGTTTCAATCAAGCATTGCTCAAGCACTCATTAAATGCATTCCTTACGACCCAAAAAAAGCAAACGGTGGTAGGATAATACCGGAGCAGTACTGCTTGGCCAAGATAAACAATCCTTGGGAGAAAATATTTTTCTACAACACATTTGACTGAGATGTGCAAAGCATGCCGTCACAAACTGGCGACAACCATGTCATCTGGGGCGTTTTTTTCCCTTTTTCCTTCGTCTCTACGATCAACGCTGTTGAGCCAAACCTCGGCCCCCTTTATCAGCCTGGCGGTTCGCTACATAGGCAGCAACCCAAGAAGCTTGAAAACGCCTGCCTTGAAACATGCTAATTTCCCAAGGACTACACAAAAGAAAATATTGCGAGTGGTTTAAAGGGACTTTTTTGACTGCAATGGAATCTGCAAGAGCAAAAAGAGGCGGGTGTGACAACATGACGGGGCCAATGCCTTTTGAAGGCGGGTATTTTCTTTGGTTTTCGTGATATTATTCTCAAATATCGGTTTCTTTATTTATTCACTGTTTAAGTGGGAAGCAGTTACGTTACATTGAGACCTCACAGGGAAAACACTGGCTGGCCAGTGATTGTTTCCATTTCAAGCTGTGTCACTCAACCAGTTGCACTAAATTTTCACTATAACTGGAAAAGAGTGGCTTAAATACCGCGTGCAATAAAAACGATGCACAAAAGCACCAATCCCAAACATGTCATTTTCCCCCCGTATCATCAAAGGTCATCACTGAAAATTTCCTTGAAATATTGTGCTATAATTTTGACGCAATATCGACTGCTTTCACTGGAAAGGAAACTTAACACTCTCAGCCTGACTACATGCAGAACTTACATTGCGCTTTTTGCTGTGTAAAGTCCAGCCTGTGGTATCCAGTTCTTTGCCCTTTTTGTCCTTGCTTTCTTGTTGCAGGTAATCACTGGGGACAAATACACTGCATTAGACTTCTCACTCGACAGCTCGAAAAAGGTCAGCACGCCGAGGAAAAAGTGTCTCCCTTTCAAGTTTACTTGCCAAACTTACAACAACAGTTTGCATGCGTCATCATTGTTTCCTCCCATGGAGTCAAAGTAGGTGACAGCCTTTTTGCGGAAATCCACCACCTGAGAAAAGGAGTATGATCAGAAAAGCTTCAACGCTCTCAACGTGTCCAATGAACCCCGGGTGAAGGGTGGTTTGAGTCGGCAGTAACACTTACAGAGAGGCACCAGTGCATACTCAGGTGGACGGGAACCAGCAGGATGTCTTTGGAAAAGATGTCCATCTTTTTGGTCCAGCGGCGGACAGCGGAGTAGCCACTGCTGCGCAT